AGTTATTGGATTTTTGAGGCTATTTTGTTTTTCAGATACTGCAGTTTCTTGCCTTTGGGGCCTGCTTGTTTGTTATACCTCTTTTAGATCGCCTGCAGATAGAGCTTTTTCACGTAACTTATTCTTTCCCCCCAATAACGTAAAAGGCTTAAATATGAAATGCTGTGATGCTCTTTTGTCCTTGGGTGTTCTTTGTAACTAGCTGTCACTTAGCTTCACCGTTAATTTGCATCCTGGATATAGTTCTGAGTTCAATTGCAAACCTAAATGAATATAATAAATAATATCAAATATGGAAGAAGTCAGGCTTGTTTCAAGGGTGCAACTATCAAAAGTAATGTATGACCTCCTTTTCACACTAGAGGGCACTAACATCCCATTAAATTTCAGTCAAAAACAATTTTTATTGCGTCTATAGTGTTTATAAGTTAGTCCTGTGACTTCCCTAGTGAGGCCAGAATTCTTACTTTTTTGTAGCCTTTTCTCTGTAGAAATGAAAACTAAAAATAGTTGTATTCTTACAAGGGTGCATCAGATGCTTGCATTAGTGATATTTTTATAACCTAAACAGTAATTTGGGTAACGATTTCTGGAAGAAAAGAAGGTAACTTTCAGCTGCATTTTTCAAGTGCTTTCATTGTGATACTTTTCACTCAAAGCTGGTAAATAGGAATATAAAATAAAAAGCAACTGAATAACTTCCTATTAAAAAAAGAATTAAGATCTCGAGTATACTTCTTGAAGTTCGTAATGGAAGGAAAATCAACGGATGCTGCAGGAATAGGAAGTTATGGGTTAATTGCATGCATTTACCTAGTAATGCTTGTTATAAAGAAAATGTGGGGGAAAGAATCCCTACAGTAGCAGTTAAGTAATAGGTTGTAGTAGAATTTTCAGTTGTTTGTATCAGGACACTTAAACACATGTTCTAAAATTACTTACTTGAATCTAATGCTTGGGCCTCAGGGCAGTATAGCTGTTTAAAGTAGTTCGGGTTTTATTACAAATTTCAGATACTGAATCTTTCTTAAAAACACTTGAAAGACTTGTAATTACATTTTTGTCCTTTGTAGGAATGGTTATTCTGTTGCCTTGGAGATGATCCTGCTGCCTTAAATGTAGGACAGAAGATTAATGGTGTGGGCAGTATGGACCTAATGAACGGACAGTCCAGCAGTGTTAATATTGTGGCTACTGCTTCAGAGGTAAGGATTGCAAAACTTGCTTCTTGAGTATTTAAGACCAGAAAACTTAACTCTTTTGTAAGTGTTTTCAGGAACTCTAGTGCTCTCATTTCTGTGGGTGGGAAGTGAAAAGAGCAATATATAGTATGGCCATAATAATAAGCCTTGTTAGGCTTTCAGGAGAAAATGTTGGGACAATGCAGAGATCCCATCTAAGCCTGTGATTCTCTGCTTGTTTTTCCATCTGCTTCTGAAATTGGGCATTTTGATTTCTACGGCCTCCCTCGGGATGGACTTAAATTCATGCCTCTTCCTAACACCCACTCAGGAAAAGATCTTCTGGGTGCTTTCCAGTTTTGTGAGGTAGGAGTACTGAGAATAGAGGTTAGAACTGAGTGCCTAAGGGCACGGGTCTGCAAGGTGAGGCTAAATGGGTCTTGGTTTGCTTTCAGAGCAAGGTGGGGTGGAAGGACACAGTGATTGCATGCTCTAGGCATATCTCCAAAATAAATAGCTCATATCTGCGTTCAGATATGAAATAAACTTCTGGATGTGACATCTCATGCCTCAGTGTGATGACTTTTTGTAGTAGGTGAGCACAGAATCGAGGTTTGTATCTATATAGCATAACATAGTATGATTACTAATAACATAGCTATATTCAAAATGAACGGTTAATTTTTGAAGAATGTTTGCATTTACAAGGAAGCTGGTATCTTTCTTGTTAACAAAATCGGCATGAATGATGCCCAGAAATGTAAGTGTTGTGCATCGAAAACCACCTTTGAAGCCTACTGATGCCTGTTTGAGACCTTCTCATTTTAGAAGTCTCTGTGAAAAGGTATGTTTTGTCTTGATAATTTTTTAGGTAGAAAAAATGCAGTCATGTTCAGAGGAGGGAAAAAATGATTATAAGGATTAATAAAAGAATAAAAACCAGTGCCTTTGTTTGTATTTCTGCAGAAGAGCAGCAGTTCTGAATCCCTAAGTGACAAAGGCTCAGCTGAACTGAAGAAGAGCTTTGATGCTGTGGTATTTGATGTTCTCAAGGTTACACCAGAAGAATATGCAGTAAGCACCTGATCGTGGGTGAAAGCCTGGGGGGAGTGGTAGGAGGGAGGGGAAAGGGGGCAACTCTTCCTCCCCTTATCTGCTTTTGTTATGTGCTTAACTTTTGTTATCCCTGAAGTTCAACAATAGAGCCTGTGCTATAGCTCCTTTGCATGCCTGTTCTGCTTGCTTGGTTTTGGGGGGCCATGTTATCCTGGGCTGTCCCTGGTATTTTTCATTTTTTTCATTCCATGTAGATTACATACAGCATAGATTAAAGATTCTTAAAGGTGTATGATATAGCTTAATTCCAACATGAGGGCAATGCAACATGTTTGGCTTATTTTAGTGACAAGAATATCCTTGCCATGAGTTTTTCTTAGGATGTTGTAATGAAATATTTTGGCTTTCATTATACCTATCAGCCTATAAAGTTTTAGATTTCTGTTCTTCCATTCCTCAGTGATGTTTAGGCAATTGCAGATGTTGGCAGATGATATACATATGCCTAAGCTTGTTAATGATACCAATTTTAATGATGTAAACTTAAAAAATTCTGGCCTTGCTAAATATTAGAAAATAGTCCTGTATCACAATAAGTCATATAAAAAGCTTTATAATATTGGCCAACGTTATGGAACATGATAGTTATTTTTCCACTTTTCAAGGTAAAGCATACTTGTGATTAGCTTATACTTGAGCTGTCTGGGTACTATTCTTTACTATGTTACATGAAGCCTGTGTGACATTGTCAAGTCTCTTTGCAACTCTTTTCCTAAAATATTACTGGGAGTAGTTCAGTTGGATCTGTCTTGTGTGATGCAGGATTACAGGTCCTCAGGACAAATCATATTTATTTCATCACTAGTCTGGAAGTATTGAAGGCCAACAGTAACAAAGCAGTGAACAAGCTGGATTGATGCTTTCATAGAGCTTTTATTGGGGATAAACATTGAATATTTCAGTTAGTGTTGTTTCTTCCTGCATGTGTTGCAGGAGAAATTGTTTGAGTTTATACATGGCTATAAGCACTCATATCACATTTACATGTGCTTTCTGGGCTGGATCTTACCGAAGTTCCCAAATGCTTTTATTTTAAGGCCTGCCTTCATTTTGAGGAGGATGCCAAAAATGCTTCAAGATGAACCTACTCTGCAGTACCTGGTTATCTTATGCAATAAGAGAGCTTTAATGCTGCTTAAATATGCCTAGTTCTCATCTAGATATCCGAGTATCGCTTTGTGATGCCAGGAAGCAAGTCAGATTTGGAAGCGTTTGTGCAGGCTTCAGTATTTCTCCTGGTACTCAGAAAGACGTGTGGTGTTTGGCTTTGGAGTGTGCAGTTTGTTTGTTTTTCCTTTAACTCATTTTGCCTATCTTGGAATTTAATGTGGTGTATAAGCTATGCAAAGCTATTCCTGAGATATTACTATTGCTGTGGGATCAGAGGAGGAGCTCCTAGCTATAGAAGGTTCTAGATGCACGTGGCTTTCAAGGGGTTTGAGGTGACCACGAGTAAGTTAGGTGCTTTCTCCTATGAAGAATGTGTTCAGACCTGCATGTTCTCCACCAGGATTCCTTAGGAAATCCAAGACTTCCTATCAGAAGACTCTGATCTGCTTTATATTCCCATGGGAGTGGGAGGAGGGTGACTCTCTCCAAGGATGTCCTCATAGGCTGCACACACGTTCAGCACCGGCACAATTGGAGCAGAGGAGCAGGTTGAAACAACTAGAGCCAAGGGGCTGCCACGACCACTGTGTGGTCACTCAGGGTTTTTTATTCCAGACTGGATTTAATCTGGTCTCCTGGATCAAATATCACTATGGTGGATGTTGTTCAGACCACACCAAAGGAGTGTTGGATCTTTTGGAATTTCACATACAAGCTGTACTTGGGTTTCAAAATGACATGCAATTGTCGGTGCAGCCATCCATAGTCGAAGACAGTCTGTGCTTTTTTTTAAAAAAAAAAAAATTATATATATATATATAAAGAAGATTAATTTCAGGAATTTAGAGAGCAATGAACTTTGTCAATTCCAGAAAAAAAGAGTATTTTGTAAGCATTTTAAAATACAATTACATGATTGTACCCCCTTTTTTTTAAATACTGCCTACTATAATATGCTGCTTTCTTAATTTCCAGCAAGAGTCCATGTTTTGAAAAAATCATGTCTTTATTCTTAGCCTACTTAAAGGATTTCTTCCTGTGATCAGGTCTGAGGAGCTTTTGAGGTGGCATTCTGAGCAGCTGAGCAAAACTTCCAGTAGGCAGCACCCAGCCCATTGTGAAACTGGGCTTTAATTAATGGTTATTTCCGTAGCAGGTTTACCTGCTTTTTCCACTAGTTCTGGGTTGTTTAGGTGCTATTGTTTTCTGATAATTCTTGTAGAAATGGGTAAACTAGTGAAAAACTCATGTAGAAATGGGTAAACTAGCGAAAAACTCATGTATCGTGGAGGAAACCCTCTGTTTGAGCTCCTTGTTTGCATTTTGGCCACTTTCTTCCTTTGGATCCTGCTCTAATAGCAAACTGTAAAATCTTTATCTGGGTTTTGAATGTTCACATGAAGGCGGGAGTGCTGCAGCATGGTCGAGGCTTGGGGAATATCGGAATTGATGAGAATGCAGAACTGTTAGTAACCCGTTTCCCTTGGAACGGGCATGTACATCTCGCATTGAACATGGATGTGTTACCAGTTGCTTCCTCAGGATGAGGAAGCGGCACAGACGACTGACATCTGTGATTTAGGGAAGGCTGAGATCCATTTCTGCCTGCACAGTGAGGGCTGTCTTCAAAATGTCTTTTTTTTGAAGTGGCGAATAGAGGAGATGCTACAGAGCCCACAGGCTATCTTACACACAGAGAGAAAATAAAGTGACAAAGTCCGTGCACTAGCAATGCGAGGAAATTGCTGCACAAGAGCCAGCCTGACCGCTGTCCGTGTAATGGGTAGGGAGTCTTGGCTCATAAAACAAAAAATCCCCTTTCAGGGTGTAGATACCACAAGGGTTGGGAGTTGCCTAGTCAAGCCAGCATCAGCATTGGGAAGTCTTACTGCATATCACTGTATTTTGGTGGCAGTGTACAGAGTGGATAACTGCAATTATCCTGGAAATGAGCAAAAATCTGACACTCAGCAAGTAGGAGAGAGACTGGAATTGGAGGATTTGGCAGTAGTTTGTCATGAGAATGAGCTCTCACTGCTATGAGACCGTAAGACGACTTTTAATTTCCCAGCGTTGGAGACAACCCTGTTGTTTCAAAACTTGAAATCTGTTTAGTGAGCTAGTGGGTAAGAGGCAAGATGGGCTAGAAAAGCTCCACTTGTAATCCTGTATTTTCTATAAGCTGCTTACCCAGCCAGAGAAGAGACTGTTTGTATGTTTGCAGAGGGGAAATGGTGATTTTCATTTCCATATCCTTCCTTTTTGGCAGTCATCTACCATTATCACGAACGCAGTCATTTTACAAATGGATTCTGTTCACACTGGAGCTCATTTGCTAACAAAGATGTGCCAGAAGTTCTTCAGCCCTTCAGGAGTTTCTAGTGGAACCAGTAGGAGAGGGTTATTGTGGGAGATGGGTAATACTGTAGCTGTGCTGCCACTGCAAAGACTGGAAAAGGCCCAGCTGGTCTCTCTGAAGGCTGCTGTGCAAAGGGTCAGATTAAAGCTGAAACAAGGGAGATCTTCAGGAGTAGCTGCTGCCGCAGTGGAAAAATCAGGGTTTGTTTTAGCCCATTGCAGTTGACAAAGGCAAATTTTCTCGAAAGATGTATTGAACACTGTTTTACAGGTTTGGGGGAAAAAAGCAGAATGCCTTTCAGGGGGTATAAAGCAGGACACATTAGTTTTGTAGCACGAAGCCTGCAGACAGGTTTCCAGCTGGGGCTCCCAAGGAGGCTGCTGCTGTTTAAATCCGCCTTGGGCTGCCAGGAGGGCCCGAAACCACAGTCCTGGTGCCAGGAGTGCCTGCTGGTGCCTGGCCCCATGGAGGCAGCTGTTCCGGGTGCTCCCAGCCTAATGTCAGGATCCCAGGGAACACTGCACGTTCCCCGTGGAGGGAGAGGTGTGGATTGGAGCGCATGAGGCCCAGTTCTGTAGGTAAAGGGATATGCTAATGGTGCAGGGGCTGCTGGTGAGCCTGGAAGGTGGGGGGAAAAAGGAAGATGCTCTGGGGATGTGGGCTCCAAATTAAGATGCTGGTGAACCTCATGCCAAATAAATACTGGTGGGGGTGTGTGTGGTGTGTGTTTTTTTTTTTTTTTTCTTTTTTTTGCTTTTCAGTAAATTGCTATTTCTCAGATTGCTACTGTTTAATTATTTTGACAACTTTTTTCCCCTCACTTTTCCATTTTATGTAAATATTTGGTGTAAATATTTGAGGTAGAATTAAGGGAAGCTCAGCTTTATAAATCCATTGCTTTCTCTTTCTGCCAGTTACCTAAGAGGGGTTATTTATTCTTTGCAATGGTCTTCAAAAATGCAATGGGAGAGGCTTGGATTAGGAGGTGTGCATACTCCTTTTCTTTTTTTGTTCTACTTAAACTTTATCAGATGGATGCCTGGAAAAAAAGAAAGATCATTGCTTATTTTGTGAAGGATATTCAAGTCATGTTTCCTTAAAAACTTTTAAGTGAAACGCGGGAGTTTTCTTGGAGACTTCCTTAACACAGTCAAACACGAAGATGCCCTTGTGTGAAGAACAAGATTGTTTCTGGTCACTGAAGCAGCTTCCCATCGCTCTGGAACCACATTGCTTGGGGAATAAAAGTGCAGGAATGAATCTTACTCCCCGAGCTTCAGAGAAAATAGGACTTCTGATTTTATGCACTCCTGTTGCATTTAGCTTTATTTTACCGAAGAACCCTGGTGAGCATGCTCCACATGAGAGCAAGCAGAGCAGCTTTATTACAGTGTGTGGAGGAACTCTTGGTAAGTCGGGAATGGACTTTGTGAACCTAAGTACAGTTTCAGCAAGGAGCAAGATCCCAGTGTTTGCTTAGGGCAACAGAATTATTTTACTACTGATACAGTGCTTAACAGACTCGGCTGTTCTTTCAGGGAAGAAAAATATTCTGGGAGCCCAGAGAGACTGTGCTTAAGCCAAGTTGGAAGGCTTAGATATTTTTCATTTGAAGAAGTCAGATTACAGAACAACTTATGAAGTGCTGCTTGCAGAACCAGCATGGCTTAAAGGAAAATCAGAACGTGGCACACATTCTTCAATAACCAAACTGTCCTTTTTTTTTTTTTTTTTTAACATGTCAGACACAAACTTCTCTATTTTTGAAAAATATTTTTTCCCCCTTCCTCACAATGAGCTACTATGCAGGAGCTAGTCCTTGTGGCAGGCACGTGACAGGTAGGCAAAGCTGCAATGCAGCAAGTAGCCAGATAGAATGAGCTCTTGCTTGAGAAGATCTAGGGACCAGAAATAGGAGATTATAGTGCAGATTAAATGACAATTGCCAAGGAAGGGTCTGGAGGAGGGAAAGGAGTCTTCCCTCCTATAGGAAAGGAGCTCGATGCATTTCTGCAAGTAGGTTATGGCTTTTGGGGAAGGAAGGTAATCCCTATGTGCTCACAGAATTGAGAGGAGGAACTGGAAATATTTTTATATTTTGTTTCATGGGACTTCTATATGTTCCTCAAAGGAAAAGTGCAGTGAGGTAGGTTTCTCATTCAGCTGGATATAAATTTGCTATCTTGATGGCCTTGACAGAAGGGAAAATGTCTATATGAAGCTATGTGCTTGTCACTTGAGTAATGTGATGTACATTTTGATGTTACCAAGTCCACCCTCAAAACCTCTGACAGCTAAAATGTTTTTAAGCTCAATTGTGAGGATTTCATTGAAACGTTTTGCCTAAGGACGTGCAAAAACTCCTGTGGTTATGCATAGGGGAAGAAAGCATCTCACAGCTGTGCCAGTGCCTTTGCCAGAGCCTTACCTGCAAGGTGGTCACTCACGTTTCCAAAAGAGGGTTTTCTCGTGCAGGGTTCTTCAGGGGGTAAGGATATATATTACTCATATATATTAAATAAAGAGGGACCAAAGTGAATAAAAACTTATATTTGGTTCTCTCAGCTCTCTAATATATAGACTTGCTAGACACAACACGTGTGAGACAAAAATATCAAGTTTTCTTACCTTTGTATAGCCAAAATGCTTATTTGAAAAGAGCTGCTTGGACAATAGAATGAGGTAAACACTGGGTAAGAATAAGCTCTAGGCTTTACATTGCATGAATAATCTTGAATGTAAAAAGCTGAGAGCTCAAAGAGCAGAGGGGTTATTGTTGGCTTGCTTTGTGTAATAAATTGATGTGAATGCTTATGTTTTTTGGTTCAAATATCAAAACATTAGGGCCACGGTAGGGTAGGGAGCTATCCAGGAATTTGCTTTGGCTGCGTTAAGGAGCTGGAAGGAGGACAGGCAATTTATTGCATCTCTGCGCTACAGAAACCAGTGTCCTTGTTCATCGGGGTTGGAATTGCTCATGGTTTGGTCTTGGTAAAAGTTTTTTATAAGGTTTGAGTGGTGCCATCGAAGATAAATAGTGTCCTGTGAAATGCCGTCGATGAGAACAACAGTCTTTTGTTTGCTTCATTTTTGGCTTTGCAGTGAGCAAGCACTTTTAAAGAGGTAAACGGGTGTTTAGGCTTTATGATGTTGACTAATGTTTAAATGTGTTTATAAAATATATTTTTCAACTCATGTGCAGTGCAGTGTCACACATACAAACCAAAACAGCTTTGTGCCTGTAAACTTAGGATTTTGAATTGGGAAAATTTCTCAGGTTCCTGCAACTCCTAACAGAAATGACGAGTGGCTGAAGAAAGGGACCTGCCTAAAAGAGATTCCTCAAAAAGAGTGACAGTGTAATACGGTATTAATGAAGAGGGGTATTGCTTTTGGTGAAAGCAATAAATGTCCAAAAACAGATAAATAACCAGCCTGTAGGCTAATGTACAATGCTAGAGGTAAGAAGCTTCTTTGTTAAAACTTTTTTAGCAGTCTCGCTTTGTTTCTATATAATCCTACATGTATTAATATCAATTGAAAAATCTGTTTAATAATAAATGTTAATCCTGAACTTCATAATTTGCATATTTTTTCTCAATATTAAAATGCCATTCCCTATTTGAAATGTATGTCATTTTTGATTTGTGAATTCTTCTGTGCAGTTATTAGAGAAATCCTTGTTGCATAACTATTTGGTATTGATTCCTATACTAAAGTAGTGATTTGTAGTCAGTATTCAGGTGAATATTTTTCTAGTTTAACTAAATTTAGATCAATTAAGAAGAAAAATTTGAGAGCTGGAAAGGAAGAGCACTTATTTCCTAGCCTTTTCTCTCCCGCAGTTTGTATGAACAACAAATGAGTCTTCTGCTGTATTTTTGAGGCTAATGTTGTAATTTTGTTTTACTGGAGAGAGCTGACACTAGAATGCCACTAGTTAGACGTGTGAGTGTTTGGCAAGACGTTTGACTTCCCCTATGCCTTTATTTTCTTGTTGTTTTTTCTCGGTCCTTGTCAGATGTCCTTCTCTGCTCAAGTAAAGAAGTGCCTTTCTTATTTAATTCCTCTCAAGATCCTCAAATGTCTCAAGGTGTGCCACTGCATTGCCAAGACTGTGCTGCCTGGGTGAAACATTTATTTCTTCCAAGATCAAGTCAACTTTTATTATGCCTCCTAGTAATTGTAAGAAACGAATAGAATGTTTGCAGTCAGCATGTCTGTTTTTAACTTGAAAGCAATCTTCAGTTTTTGACACAGGGTTATTTGCATTTTCTTTAGTTGCAGTGGGTGCAAGGGAACAGAAAAGTTGGAGGCAAAGAATATTTTGGACTGCTCTCATATTCCTGTCTTGATGTTCTTATCAATTGTTGACTCAGGCTGAGGCATTGGTCCATCTGTAATGCTTGACCTTATTTAAAAAAAAAAAAAAAAAGCCAATTATTCCCTGGAGACTGGTATTCTGGCTGATTAGTTGTTAAACCATCTTTATGCCCTTCTGGGCATCATTATGCCCTTCTGGGCATAATTTTTAAGTTGGCATTTGAATATTCTCATGTAAATCATCTGCCTTGTAGCACATGCGTGTTGGTTCATGTTGGAGGACCAAGAATGTTCTGGTTATGTACAAGGTTCTGCACAGGATTTACTGCCACCAAAAGTGCATCCAGCCAAGCCCATTGTGGTTGTATGTTGCTGTCTGTAGTACATGATTTCATTTGGATGAGTCTGATTTAGCTTCCCTTCATCTCAGGATGGGGGGAATATAAAATGGCTTTTTGAAGTGCTCTTTAGAAGCAGCAGCGTGTGACTAAAGCCGAGTCCCCCCCCAGCGTGAGGCCACACGGCCTCGTTGCTTTGGAGATGCTCTTTCCCGAGGAAACAAAGACTTCCCGAGAGCTCTGGTGGCAAAATAAGCACTTTTCTCCTGCAAAAGAATAACAAATTGCATCAGTGTGTTGGTTACAGACATTGCTAGCGATTGGTATAATTTCAACACTTTTGCCCAAATTGATGCTGGCAACTCTGTCTGCTATAAAGTACAGATGTTTCTCTTTGACCAAACACATCCCTTATTTTTATCCCTTATTTATTTGTTCCTACACCTGCTTTACTTCAGTTAGAAGGTCATAGTGTGTGTGTTTGCTTTTCTCTCTCCCTTTTTGGAAAATTGCCTTCATCTCAGAGGCTATTTTCCTATGGCAATCAGTGGACATTAGCTTGCAAGAGTCACAAAGCCGCCAGCCTCTCCTGCAGGGCAAATAAAAGGAGGAACTGCAGTTTTCAAGGGTGCAGGACAATATCTGTGCAACCTTCCCTGAGGAAGCCAAAAAGATCTCTGGACTCGGTGTTAAAAGGGAATTGCAATGTCTGTCAAATGGAAAGAGTCTTTCCCAGCTGCCTGTGTTCTCTTTGAAAGAGGTGATTTCTTTCCTTCGCACATAAGCAGGCAGGAATCCCAAGGCCTGCGCTTCAACTAAAGCTCTGTGAATACTTTTCAAAAGGCAAAGCTTTTGATTTTTTGAAAAATAAAGTCCTTTGATTTCACCTTTGCTTACTGTCCTAAAGATGAGGCACCCTTGATTTAAAAATACTTATTAATTCTGACTCCTTGCAAATAAAATAGCTGTAGTTTTCGGTTGCTCTGCAACTGAACAATTATTTAGCTGGCTGGTTCCTATGCCTCAAATAGGGACATAAAGACTGAAGAATTTTAGGGATATTTGAACAGATTTTTGCATAAGTAGAATAAGATTGAGAATTTCAAGAGAAACTTTGAGCAACTGAAGTTCCTTCTATAGTTTCCTCTGCAGTGTTTCTAAATGAAAAGTGACTTGCCCATGGAACTGCAAGATTGTGCCCATGAAAATAGTTTCTCATAATTTTTTGGCGTTCTCAGCACTTGATTCTTTTGTGCTGGGCAGCTCTGCATTGAGCTGTAACCTCTGAAGCTAGCTACCGAATACAATTGAAATAGTGGAACAGAGAGAACACCTACAGTTGTTACATTAAGATGATGCGCTGCATAGGAACAGGATTAGTTTTGAGCTTAACTTATGTCTTTTTATTTCAGGGTCAGATAACACTAATGGATGTCCCTGTATTTAAAGCAATTCAGCCTGAGGTGAGTAGTTCAATGGGTTTTGTTTTCCATTTTTAATGGAAGGGGGGAAAAAAAAAGTTCAGGGTTACTTTGCAAAGTCAGCCAGTGCGTAAATTCTGGAATTGGAAAGTGTAAGTCCATTCAATAAATCTTACTTTTTTTTTCAGTTCTTGTATATCTGAAGCAGATGGTTTTAGACAAAGGTATCTGGAACCAATAGTGTGTTTGAGGAAAGAACTGTTGGTGTTTAAATGTGTTCAACTGATGCTAGGGGTGAAGTATCTCTTATTAATATTCTTGAATGTTCAACATCTTGGCTATACTGATCATAATGTTTTTTGGATTCCATAAAGCTTTTGACTGTGAATTCAGTATTTGATTACAGCTCCCATTAGGTCAAAGAAAATGCAAGCTATTACCTAACCAATAACTGAAGTTACAGTATTCCAAACTATGTATCTTTATAGTCTGTGCTGACATTTTTTGTGACTTTTTTAACAAACATGGAACTGTCCCAGCCTTACAGTTGTGAGCCTAGCTGTGCGTATTGACGTGTATTAAAGGTATAGTGGGAAGTCCTTCCTGAACTTGACGATGCCATGGTAATAAATTGGAAGCAAATGATACTTTGCAATTTACTGAGGCTTCCACAACTGAAATGTGTAATCTGAAAATAGTTCCTACTCTCTGTGTTTAAAGCTTATTGTATAGATAAACTGCTATTCTGAACTATGGTTAATGACTTCGTATCTGTCTTTTGTGGTGTCCAGGATTTTATTAGGCTGCAGTTATATCTTTTCTGAAGCTCACTTTGAAGAAGACATCTAAGTGCTCATTGCATGAGGAAATAAAGCAGTGCCTTTGCTCATCCTTTCCTAGGTTTCTTTGTTCATTTTGATTTATTTATTTTGGATAAGGGAAAATTATCACAGCTGCATCTTGTACTTGAGATGCATGTGATTTGTGTATCCATTAAGATAATATATTGACGTTTTGGGATCTCCATTTTGTTTCCAAATAACTCCATATTCCTTTCGGTTTGCAGCCTGACTTAAATTATGTTTCAGAGTCTACACAAAAACTATAATAAACTATAAATTTGTTTATTTTTACTGAAATTGAGTAGCATTTTTGTGGGCATTGTTTTGCACTTCTCAAGGTTTATTTTTCTTGCCCATTTTTCAGTAGTGACAAGGTCCTTCCAGCTCATGAGTCACTTGTTGACCATAGAGCTATTGAATTAACAGCAAGCTCTTGTTGTGTAGCTGTTCATTTGTTTTCTTGGGGATCACTGAAGAATGTTTTGCTTTCAGCAGAGACGACTGCTGAAGAAACCCCTTAATTGTGGTTACTATTTGATCATTTGTCACAAATTTTCAAAGACTTTCTTTTGGTGTGTTTCTGCAAATGATTTTTTTGTGCTTTTAGCTTTCATGTCTTCAGCAAACAATTTTCCATCCTGTGTCCTTTTTTTGTTTGTTCATTTGCTTTAATCTTTCAAAGATCCTTTTATTTGATATCTCTGGCTTTCTTAGGCTGCCTTGAAGGTGTGTGGTGGTTTTTTTTATTTATTTTTTATTTATTTTTTGATAGGCAGAATGTTTCCCTGTTCATTTAATAGGACCCTGTTTTAAAAATTACCCTTTGCAAAGTTTTCAAGTCTTTGGCCATCTCTTCCTGATCCTTTTAAATACTTTCTTCAAAGCAGGGTACTCTTCTTTCTAAGTGTCACAGCTGCCTAGGGTTTTTCTTTTATCTTCATGCTTGAAGGTGTTTTGGATGCTTTTACAGATGCCTCTTCTAGCCATACAGCTTTTAAGGACTGGATATCAAAAAATTCAAAAAACCTTCATTCTGCAGGTTGTTCCAGCTCGGTGATTGTAAGGCATGGGAGGGGAAAAGCAGAACAAATTAAGTAAGTTTATTTCTCAAAGCAAAACTATGGAAATCAGGAGGGGAAAATAAGCCAGTAAAGCTGTACTGTAATTCCTTTAGAAATTTGTTGGTTCTGCCCCATGCAAATTCCCATCACATCTATGTTTCTCGGAAGTATTCCCTGAAAACTAACCTGAGATTGAGGAAGCCCTTTTGTCACTGCTCGCATGTTTGCAGGGAGGTAGTTGAAGGCCTTGACAATGTGCAAACACCCTGTATCTGCCAGTGCTCCAAACAGGGGCGGGCGAAGGTATGAGGGCTTGGATCTGCCAAGCCTCCAGTTCCAACCCAGGATGGAGAAGGGACACATGGGTTGCTTTCCAGGTCAGGAGCAGCTATGGAAAAGGATTTTATCCCATTTTCAGGAGAGAAAAACAGCCATGGAGCATCCCCAATTTGCCTAGGGGGTTTTGACAGCAGATTAATGACATGTGTTTAGCGCTCTGGATTTCTTTGAAGCATTGATCAGGCTACACATGCCATAACTGCGACTTGATTCAAGATGCAGGTCCTCACACATACCTTTAGGTGTATACTCAAGCCCAGTTAAATGTGTAATCAAAAAATCAAAACATGGAGCCTATTATCCTGCTTAAACTAAATTGAGGCTTTAATGAATGAGTAAAATGCATTGAGATTGTGTGTGTGCTTTTTTTGGTTTTTGTTTTTCTCCCCGTATATCAATACTCAGTAGATGCTCTATTTGGAAATTGCAACTTTTTTTTCCATGTGTAGTGGGAGGGATATAGAAACCATCTTCTGTGAATATTTTAAGACCTGCTGCACATTATAGATGTTGTAGTTCATCAACAGTTCAGTTAGAAGGTGTGACAACTTCCACCTTCTTCTGAAAGTTGGTAAGACTGAGTTTTTACCATTTAATGTCCTTTCATCTATGTTCCCAAATAAGGATCCTGAAAGACGTCTTCCAAGAGGCTTTTTTTTAAAAAAAAAAAAAAAAAAAAAAAAAAAAAAAAAAAAAAAAACTAAACACAACCAGAGATGCGTTCTCGTCCTCTTTAGGAAGCGTGCAAGAGGAACTCTGAGCATCATAGTTAACCTTGGCCACCTAAATTCCTGCCATGGGCTACTCCTGCTGTCCTGCTGTGCTGTTTCAGGCCTGGGGAAGAAGCCATAAACCAGTGGCCCTGCCATGTCTGCAGGGACTCTGGACATGCAGGAACCTGCTCTTTCCTGTCGTTATTTTTTCTCTACTGTACCCTTGTATGCTGAAGTTATTCTCACTCCTAATCTGTTGCTACTCAATTTTTTGCTGAAGTGCTGACTATTGTTCAACTTAACAAAACTAGCCTCTTCAGAAGAGAATACTGGAAATAGTATAGTTCCTTCCTGCTGTTACTGCAAAAGATGACAGTTCTGGTTTTTCCTTCAATGCAGCCCACTAAAATAATGTGACATGTCTCGATGAAGCTAATGAGGTTTTACCAATTTGCTAGGCTTGAAAATAAATGCCCTAAAGAAACTTAAAATCATGAGACATGGTGCTCTTTCTAGCTCAAGCTTCAATTTAAAGCACTATTTTGTGTGGTAATGAAACAGGCCTTGTATTTCCCTTGTTTTTAATAATAACAAGTAGTCAATTAGGAAAAAAAATTCTTAATTAAATAAAAGATGAATCCTAAAAACAGGTCTTGAAACAGTTCATGAATGATATTTATGGACTCCAAACTCTCAAAAGAAATGAGAACAAGTGTAACTACGTATTTCTAACTTTGATGTCTTGCTGTTAGATGCAAAGAGTGGAAAAATTAAGTACTTTCAAACAACTCTGCATTTATGTTACTTGCTTATTCAGTAAAAATGAATTCTCATCCTTCTTTTTCCAGGAATTGGCAAGTTGTGGATGGAATAAAAAAGAGAAGCACAGTTCTGCACCAAATGCAGTTGCTTTCACCAGAAGATTTAATCATGTGAGTTTTCTTTTTCAGTGTCATTACATGCGTTTTAAAAAAAAATTGCCGAGTGGAGTGTTCTGGCTCATAACTTTTATTGTTTTCAGCTAAGTACTTTAGATGTCTGCTTAAAATTCTTCCTTATACAGGAAGGATACCTTACAGCAGACCAGTACTGATGAAATAGCTGTGTTTTTCTTGTGCCCTGTTTCAGTTTAGGGTTTTTTAGTAAATTTCTGACCAATAAAATACTAAGTGTCTTTCCCTGTGGATGCCATCTGTCCCTTTCATAATGACTAAATCATCATTTCAAGTTGAAGACTTAAAGTATAGAAGGATGCTTGGCCTCATAATTGGATATATATTTTTTTATGATGCAGTTAAGTGTTTTTCCTGGAGAAGTTTTTGTCTTTAGAGATTTGAACCCTTTGTAAGTGTGGGTTATTCTTTTTAAGGTAATTCTAGGCAAACTGAGTTCTAAACAATTTGAGTCAACAAAACTTGTCTTTTAAATTGTTTGTGTGACAGAATTTACTCAAACTTTCTCTCTACCAAATGAACTTACAAGAAAGAATCTTAGTATTTTCCACAGTGAAACGAGTAAGTCTGCAGGTAGCCAACGGTCTCAAAAATGTAGTGCTTTTTGATGCCATATTTTATGTTTCAGAGGAAGTACCTCTCTCCTTTTGTAAATGTTTAATGTCTCAAACGTATAAGTTCTATTCCAGACCGATTTTCTGTGCCCAGTTGTGCTTTTTTAGGCATCTTTGTTAATGTTCTTAAAAGCTTGGCTTGGCCCACAGTTACTTTTTTTTTTTTTTTTTTTCCTACCACTTTTTTAAATTCTGATTTCTTCTTGTTGTGGCCAAATGAGATATTAGATTTAGAACAAACAAATGAACGAAAAAGCCTCTGTTGAGATTGGCCATCCTTTCAGAAGCAGTGCAAGAAAGTCGAGACTCGCATGGGGTTGGCAATAGCAGCTGAGAATGAGAGTGGTGACGCAGACAGTTCCTGTGGGCTTCGCTCTAGGCCTGGTCACTTGGAGCCCGTTCCCGTTGTCCCAGGTGCTCCTCAGTGGACTCTGCTTCCTACCAGGCACTTCGGTGCTCACCTGAGAAGCAGTAATGTTTAGAATTAAGCGATCAGTAAAAATCTCCATGGCTTTTGCCTTAATCTGGACTGAATCTGGAAGTTCATTAAACTTTCATTAACTTTTGAAATTTCCCTGGGTTTAAATTATGTATTATGCCTCTGTCCCTTGCCTTCTGCCCCCAGCTTGCCGGAGGAAACCCAGGTGTATTTTAAGTGAGGAGCATATTAAGTTGCTAACAGCTGCTTCTCGGTGAATGGATCTGCTGATAGTGTTTTGGCAACAGGAATAATGACGCACAGTAGCTGTAGTCCACAGAGTGATGTAGTAGCATGTGTCCAGCATCAGCCGTCTGACCATACATACGGTGCCTGTGCAAACAGCTTGAGCTTGGGAAGATAACTCACTGAATCATTACATACCACAATGCTTTAAGTCTTAAAGCATATATTGGTACAAGGTAGCCTGTAGATCTACACATCTACTATTAAATATTTTGTTTTTCTTAATATTTTCTTTCTCTTTTGCAAGTTTTTCTTAAGAAAAATAGTTGAGCGCTATTGTTGTAACCAGTGGGTCTGGCAGAGTGGATAGCTGTCAGGTTTGCTTGCTTCCCATGTGGCTGTTGCCTGTTTTAGAAGATTATAATTTCAAGCAAAGAAAGGTCTATCATCTTCTGAAGTTTGCTGTTAGGCATTGATCTGAGAAACTAGTTCAGAATCCATGTAAAGTTAACCTTAAAACCAAATTAGTGAAAGGTACCTGTGGGTAAAAGTCTTTCCTGAGCTTCCTATCCTAAGTAAGTAGGAGCTATGCTGTTGCGCAGCTAAAAATGAGAGAAACTTCAGGTTGATTGGGCTTGAGACGTGAGAATGGTGCCACAAAATTTCCCCCTTAAAAATAAACAAATTTTGTGTTTTGTTAAGTGCAAAATGCTGACTTTAAGTAGTGCATAGCAAGGGGAAAACTTGTGTTCCCCTAAATAGGGGGCTGCTGCTGAGGTGAGGGGTGGTCATGGCTTTTACCTGAGCTGTCAGAAACTGTAAAATGTGGGGCCGAGGGGGTGTCCTGCCATTGGAAATCCCCCGAGCACAGCACGGCACCTGCTACCTCAGCGCGCCCCGCTCTCCTTCGGCGGAGCCCCCTAGGGGCCACAGCATTTATGGGCAGAAGGTTCCAGAAACACCAGGAAGGCGCCAGGGTTTTGAGTTAAAGGCGCTGCTAATTAAAAAAGAAAGGTTATTTAGCCTCTGGAACGGTAATTATGAACTTAAAAGCACCAGTACCGGTTTAAAATTGCTAGCACAGATTTGATTATTCACATCAGGCAAATATGGAAAAGTGAAAAAGCTGTGATTCAAGGAAGGATATATGCAAAAAATCAAACAGTCTTTTATATGCTAAGTTTAACAAGGAGACCTTAAACGCACAAATACTTGTAAAAGTTTAAACACTTGGACTGTTATCTAAGGTGTTAATGCCTGAGTGCTATGGGGCAGCTATGGGGAGTGAGAAATGATGCAATTTAAATGCGAGAGGACTGCTGTCAAAATGACTATATGTATGGAAAAATAGCTAGTGATTCGAGTAAGAACCTGGATCAAATAGAGGAGTTTTATATAGCCTGTTAAAACAATTGGTTTTATTTAAATCTTTTTTTTTCTTAATATTTGGTAGAAAATGAGTCAAGGTATTGGTAGGTCTCTGGTAGGACAAGGACAGAAGTTCCGTTAATCTCACTGAAGACGTTTCGTGTTCAGAGGGTAGATCCCTGCTCAGATCCTCTCATTGTCGAGGAGCAAGTTGGTTTTCTCAAGCTATATAGCTACAAGAGAACATGAAGTTGAAGTATAACTTTTTTTTGATAATACTTTGAAGGGAGGTCAAATATTTTTGCATTCGGTACTTACGTATTTTATAGGAATGCTCTCTGCACAAAAACTGTCACCCTGACAAATACAAAAAATGGTTATCTGGAGCTATTTCGCTTCTTTATTTGCCCTTTTCTTAAGCCTTAAGATAAAAAGGAAAGGGGAACAGCTCCGTCTTAACTTCACTGGCTGATACAACCAAAGACCCACAGAAAGCAGATGCTGTATAATATGTTCCACTTTGCGGGGTCGTCCCAGTTTTTCATTGACTTCAGTAAGAAATAAATTTGAAAAGTTAGAAATGTTATCAAAACTCTTTCAAAACAAAGCTTGTAAAAAAAAAAAAAAAACACTTCAGTGTAACTATGATGCGAAGCAACTGGCCTTCATACTGTACTGAATATAACTGATTTCTTGCACAGCCTTGGAGTCCAGTAGAAGTTAACAGGTAAGAACATGAAAGCATGAATTTGAAGGCAGATTTTTTAAGTATTAGAAATTTCTCCAGGCGAACTGGAGAAATGATTTGAAAAACTTGAAGGCAATTGAAGACTAATATTTATTAGGCTTAGGTGGGAATAAATTGTGCAAATGCAGGATGGGAGCTACCTGTGTGGGCTGCTGCAGAGGTAGATGAGAGGATCTTGGTTTTATCACAAATTAGAGCTTCATGTGAGGGCAACAGGCTGTGCTGCTCTGGAAAAAACAGTGAAGTTCTTAAGCAGTAGTAGCACATTTATTTAGAATAAATAAATAAATCTTAGGTGGTTTTGAGTCCTACTCAGTGACTTTAAAGCTGTGAAAAAGCTGTGTCTGGTCTTAGGCATTATTTTGTAGAAGATATTATCCAGCTGGGGAACTAGAGGAGGAGAAAGAGAGAAAGAGAATGAAAAGCATGGGTTTTTTTAATTTCATTTTTTGAAAAGCTGAAAGTTGCTTATCTTTAAAGGAAGAATTTAGATGCCATCTTAAGCTTTTGAGTAACGGAAAAAGTAATTGTAAAGGAAAGAGGAATCATTGTGTTTCTGTCAATGGTGAATACAGTGAACAGTAGACTGTATTTATGAAAATAATATATTGGATTTTTTCCAGATGTTTAGGACAGTCTAGATAAAATACTGTGAGAATTGATACTTGGGAAACAAGAATGATACTTGGGAAACATGAATGTGTTAAAAGCTTAGAATTAATTTTGTGCAAAGATCTTCACTAACACAACATGAGAAAATCGACTTTCAAATATTAAAGCAAGGAAATTTAGAAGCTGATCTTAGCAAGTCTTTAACATTAAAAAAAAGAATTAACAAGTTCTTATCTCAGTTGTATTGGCTGGAGTTCTTATAGCATAAGCTTTTCTATATTTATTCTTTACATGTGTAAACTGAATGTCATGTGACCTTTCAAGCCATTCCTGAAATGTGAATATGGAAAAAAAAAATTTGAAAACTGTAAACTTTATTCTTTTTAGGTAAGCTTCTGGGTTGTTAGAGAGATTCTCCATGCACAAACCTTAAAAATAAGAGCCGAAGTTTTGAGCCACTATATTAAAACAGCTAAGGTAAGAATTTTTTGGAGAGGGTGGGATTTACCGTCGTGACAATTCTCGTACTTAAGTTGGTAAGTTCAAAACTTCACATAGCTACATACTTGTCTTGACAGCTCAGTTGTGCTTGTATCTATTGACATGAATAGGTGCTTGTCTTATCTATGCAACAAAATTGACAAAAATGGTGACAAACTAAAATCCCCACTTACAAGTTTTTCTTTACCAAAAAAAAAAAAATGCTCAGCTAAGGAAACGATGCTTTCCTTCAAATGCCTGTTGCTGGGGATGTGAGTTGCACAATGTGGCCCTTCAAACACAATCAGACTTGTTTGTTATGTTGCAAAGAGGGATTGTTTTTTCCTAGGTTGTTGCTGTCACGGGATGGCAGGTGTATTGCCCTTCTGCACCACAAAGTAGTGCTTGCCCTTTATCAGTAGTTCTTAGTGGGCTGCTTGGATTTTACAGCTGTAAAAAACTGTAGGCCGGGGGGGACTGGCAGCAGGGCTGCTTTTAGATAGGAGTTCTGCAGCACTCTTAACTGGTGAGAAACATTTGGCCTGCTTCAAAACCACCAGCTAGAAAAATATCCTTGCGCTGTCCCTTTTGGTATTTCAAAAATAAAATCCCCCTTATATTTAGCAACTGCTCAGAATCAAAATAAATCGGTCATATTTTTGTCCCGTTGTGAAAGGCCTCGTGAGCACAAAAGCTTGGGCAAGCTGGCTTTCGAGGGAGGGAAAGTCCATTACTTTTTGCCCATAGTGTTCTGAGAAGTCTGATTTCTTTGCTCGTGTTGTGTTTTTCTATAATCCTCATTTACCTTAGTGAATTTTCTAAGTGTGTCAAACAAGCCTGGCAATACTGGGGTTGAGTATCCATTTGTGATTAATATTCATTTCATTAGTGGTGAAACCTCAGTTTATCTGCTTCACCAGAAAACTCCTGCAAGTAATTCTCTTCTCTAGATGCTCAAAGCCATCGGAATGACTGATGATGCCCAGGAGCTGAAGGAACAGCCTTTTCTACTGAGGCGTTTCGAACCTTTTCAGGGTGATAGTACTAATGATTAATCGGCCAAGGCATATTGGCTGCTGAGTACAGAGGGAAAAGAAAAGAAGGGAGCAAAGTTCTATATCTGAAAGGAAGCACTTCTCCACGGTGTTTGTTTGTAGATTTAAGAAAATTACTGATGCTTGGTGCATTTGATTTGTGTTTTTTTGTTTTTTGTTCCTCCCCCCCCCACTAGTTATTGTTGTCACACTTTTTCAACGGGAGAAGCACTCCAGTTGCACGGTTTTCAAATTGCTCATTTGATTTCCTTCTGCAACAGTTATTTTTTTTTAGGTGCTTTGATGCAGTATCAGTACTTGGGTGTTAAAGGTGTTTCACAACATTAAATACTGCTGTGTTTACATCATGCACAGCTGGGTTGTCCTTCTTAGCATGTTGAGTTTGAAAATTAGAAAATTTCCAGCATTTTGGATATATGATCCTCTCTCCTGCTTTTTTTAAAGGAATTGAATATAGGTGACATGGATTACGAGCAATCTGAGCTATCAGTCAGCTAATAGGACCTAATGCAAAACCCTAGGTGAAGTGCTGACAAATTAGAAAGGGGTGCCATGAAACGTCATTTAGATGCACATCAGTTCACTATAATTAAATCATCAATGTAGAGTGTATGGGATTTCCATTAAATACTGCCATGAATTGAAAACACTTTGTGTACATTTAGCTCAGTTCTGCATGCATCGTTCCCAGCAATTGAAAAATCTGCTTGTGTAATATATATACTTTTGTCCACAGAAACTGTATGAGCTGAATAACCTGCACGCTCTTATGGCGGTTGTGTCTGGCCTCCAGAGTGCTCCAATCTTCAGACTAACTAAAACGTGGGCGGTAAGTGAGCAGCAGGACCATTGAGGGGGGTTTCTTCCTGAAAAAAACTTATTTTTAAGCTTAAAATAAGCTTTTTAAAAAGCTTATTTTCAAGGATACAACGATTGTTACAGATAGTTTTGATCCCTTGTGCTGCGTACATAATGTTTCTAGTGCCTTTTAATCCATTACATGGGACATTACATTAAGACAAGAGGAAATGGCCTCAAGTTGCACCACTAATTCTGGCATAGAAATATTTTCCTTTGAAAAATAGTTCCCTGTAGATTCTATTAAATGCAGAGGCTTCTAATTTGGCCAGAAGCTATTTTGTATTTAGTTGCTGGAAAATCCTGAATGCCAAAGTGGGTCATATTTTAATCATTTAGGGGCTTATATTTTTGGATTTTTTTCTATAGAGAACAGATGTTCAGAAACCCCAATTCACTTCCCATAAAAAAAAATTGCAGTTTCTTTTACTGATAACTGAATTTAATGATTTTGCCCAGTGCACAGCATAATTTTCATGGTTACGGTAGCTGCACCAAACAGTATCTTTGCATGTCTGCCTTTGTACCATTTTTTATATACTTTGGTAACATTTTTGTTTGACACCTCTTTTCTGATTAGAATATTAATAACTTTTGCCTAGTTGGGTCCTTGATCAGTAGAACTTCAGGAATAACTCTCCGTGATGGAGGAAAACACTGAGCTTGATTCAGCCATGGGTTGTGCAGCTGTTGAGTTGTATAAGGAGGGGAGATGGGCTTTGGCTTTCAAGTGTGACAGAAATAATCAAGTGACTGAAATTCTTCTGCAAGTTGTCCATGTAAATAGATCACTTAAGGGTTAAAATTTTCAGACAAGATGTGTCAATGCAACTTGGTCCTTTTTCAACCTCTGAAATGCCAGGTAGACTCTCCCACACACTTCTGCAAGCATTTCTCATACAGTTCCTAGGCAATCTTGGTTTTTCCATCATCTTATTTAAGCCTTTACAAAGTTGCAATGTGTGCTGCAGATTTAGATGTCTTTCTCTTGGAAGTTCAGGTTTTTTTTTTTTGATGTAATTCTAAGCCTTAGTATATTAAAAGCAAGAACAGCCATGTGAAAAGGGACACGATATAATTATGGTCATTTGAAAGTTATCCAACAATTGTCTAAAATGGGGACCTCAGGAAGCACTTCCTGGCTGTTTTTGAACCAAATTCTGTTACAGGAGTGATCTTTCTTATGCTTTCATCCGGGAGCACAAGAGCTTGCAGCAACCTACAGTCATCTCAACTTCAGACCTAGTAAAGCTAATTGCTGTGAATGTAATTGTTGCCTCCAAAAGCAAAGTCACCATTTTTTGTTGGAATGGAGAGTTTGAGGAAGGCCTGAAGTGTTTGCTGGGTAGTGTAATGTTGCTAGTACAGGATGAAGTGCACTGTCACTGGGAATGTGTCTGGCTGTGCCTCAGTGTCACTTGTCTCATTGCCTACATTACTCCTGAAGTCTGTAGGAAGTAATAAGCTCTTTTAGTGTCCTATTCAATATTTTGTCCCATTCAAGATTTGAAGATAACGATGAAGCTTTGAGACAGTCACCTATATTTCTTCATATTAGAGTGCAAGCTTGGGCTTGGAAAGCATAACTGAGTAAGTATTAGACATCTGCAGTTAGGTGGTGAATTCTGCCCCCTTCCACCAGAGTCCTTAAATTCCAACTCTCCTTTCTGGCGTTTCAGAGGTGCTTGTCAGTTCTGGAATGCCCTCATTAGAGGGGGAATAGAGCCTTGCTGGCTAAGTGACCTGTTAGCCTCAGCTTTTCTGGTCTCTGCACATGTCCACTGTTCTTTGCATCCTTTGAGCATAAGGTAGAAGAAGAGGCAGTGGAAAAGATTATTTGGAAAAAGGAATGGCTCCCAAAGTGAAGAAATAACAATCGTGCCTTTTTGTGCATGGAAGTGCTTGTAAAGTTAGCAGGTTCTCAACACTTTCCTGTGAACTTGGGGAGCAGAGGCATGGAACATTCTGGGAAAAAACTCCAAACTTGTTTGGAGACTGCTTAAAGAGTTCAAATTGATGCATCAGACTTGAAGAGGATTGTGCAGAATGGCATACTATGAAGAAAATGCAATTTAATTCCAGGCTGAATTTGCACTGTTACCATTTCTGTTAGCCTTGTCATACCTTTTAGTCAAAACAAAACAAAAACCCCTATAAAACTACATTCTAACCTTCTGGACACTAACTGGAGACAAAATACTTTAGGCTATTATAAGTCATCTTTGAGAAACTTCAGAAAGGCGAATGTTATGCTTGGGTGCCTGGAAAGCACTCACGCCACTGCTGTTTCTTTGCCCTGGAACTGGCAGGTGGCTGCAGCCTTACAAAATGCGGGATGGTGCGAAAGTGAAGGATGCCAATTGCTGCAACTGCAGAGCAGCGAGCCTCAGCAAACAGCTCCCTCTGCCCAAGCGTTAGTTGAGCTAATGAAGACGAATGGGTAGAAATTATAGCTAAAAAGAGGTGTTATTTGAGTAGTGAAATTGCAGCTTTCCACAAGAGGCGTTGCACTTGAACTACTGTGATCGCGTAGCTTGATTTCAACTGAAAGAGAAAAGGAAATACGATAAAAACTTAGCAATCTGTACCTGCTTAATTTTTGCCCTACTGGGGATCTTTATGCAGTGGTGAAATTCCAGCTTGAACACTAGAACACGGAGTCTCCTGCCAAATGTTTAGTATAAGCATTTTCTCCCCTTCTTTAAATCTTAGTTGGAAATTAAAGTCCAACTTGCAATAGTAGCCCAACTAGATGTATCTCATCTTACTTGGTTTCTGAGTCTTACAGAGAGCTTAATTGCTATTAATTCTGTCAAAGGAAGATGTGGGGGGAGTAGGGGACAGTGAAGGAGACTCACTCATTTAAATTACATATTTGAAGTGGAGATTCCTGTGATACTGCAAGTGAACTGCTTGTTTCGTGTCAGAACGAGTACACAGTGTGTAGCCAAGTTCTCATAGTTTTCTGGAGAGAAAAAACTCATCAAATCCTTACTCTTTTCCAGACCATCAAGTTAATGGATGTGTATGTATATGCATTCGTTGCTTTTAAAGCTGTAGCTTGATTAAAGGTGTTTATCAGATCCTAGTGCTATTCTGATTTTTTTTTTTTTTTTTTTGAGAAAGCTCTGTATTCAAAAATGAGAACATATTTGGAAGTTGGGTTTTTCTAGAACTGGATTAGAAGAGAAGTTCTAAGCGCTTGAACATTAACTTGTGGAAAACTGCAGTGAAGAAACGAATGCTGTAGAAGTTTGCATAGATACATCACAATTTCATGTACTGTTAATTTCAGTCAGGTGACTCTTAGGAAGTATTTGAGAAGTATCAACTTCTTGGGAAAAGTGGTATTTGAGTAGGCATCAACACTTACACCTTATTTTTTGAGTCTATTTTTAAAATAATTCGCAAACTAATTTTCTCTGTAAACTTTGAAAGTAGTCATCCTTAAAGAGTAAATGTTATAATTTAAAAAATATATTTAAAGCAAAAAAAAAATCTGTTTAAGGGCAAAAGAGAAGATAGAATAATCAAACTTTAGCGTATCCATTTTCTGCTTATTTTCTAGTTACTGAGTCGGAAGGATAAATCTACATTTGAGAAGCTGGAGTATGTTATGAGTAAAGAAGATAATTATAAAAGGCTTAGAGACTATATCAGCAGCTTGAAGATGACACCATGTATTCCTTATTTAGGTAAGCTGAACTGTTCCTTGGGAAAGCATTGAAGAAAAACACGTTGTACCGATGACTACAAAACCTGAATACTCTTTTAAGCAATGCTCAAAAACTCCCTCAGTACATAAGCGAGTACCATTTGCCTTTGGTACTCTGTATATGGCAAGCGAAAGCTTCCTTAGCTTCAGGAAGAAATTCCATTAAAGCTCCTAACAAATTCAGGTTTTGCATACAGTATCCGTTTTCTAGGAAATGGGTTTCCCGTTTTCTAGGAAATGGGTTTCCCGTGTGTTGTGCAGATACCATGCTGCCTTCTGGAGAAGCCCTTCAGCTGTTAGGCCTGGTAGTGCTCAAGAACTAAATACTTAAGGTCACACAAGTGATGGCCTTTAAATAAGGAGAAACTATAAAGCGGCAGCCTATGAGATACACGTAGATCTTAGTAGCTGCATAAAATTAAATGTTTGCCCATTTGCTTTGCTTTCAAGATAAGTTCCTGTGGTCACTAAAGCTCAATTTTAGGCTGTTACCGAAATCTGTTTTTTGGGGGGGATGCTGCTTGTGATTTTATCCATTTATTTAGCTGGGCTATTAATTTTATTTAATCTGATAGTAGTCTTTTTGCTGAGATCCTTGTGCCTGTCAGGAATTTTTTTTGCCTTCATACCTTGATCATTCATTGGCATTATAATCTGGAACGATACACCTAAAATATATAAAACTGTTTTGTGATTTGTTTGAAGTTCTGCATTCTTTTTGCTCAATTAGAAAAATGTTGTGGCGAGCCAATAAGAGTTTAAGTCCCGAGCGTCGCTGTGAAGTTGCCTGGCTTCCTTCTGGTGTTATTTGCTGTTCTAGGAAATCATTTGACACTGTCCTCTGCACTTTGAGTCTTCAAATATTTAATGTACAGACAAATGTTTATGGTTTGTTGTATTTGATTATTTTTAAATTTCCTTCCTTTTTGTGCAAGCATGTGTGTGTGTATGCACGTGTGTGGATATGTAAAGCAAAAATGTTAGAAAACAATTGTAAGTTCTACTAGCAAGAACCCTTTAGATACAGTAGCAACTTCTTGTCAGACTTTTCCTGTAGAATAAGCTTTGGGCTTGCCAGTTCTTTGAAGTCAAACGTGCATTTCCTTTCTGCTTGGAGCAGGCAGGCAGGAGTTTTATCTTCGAGCTTTGCTGAGCCCAGTTGTAGTTAAAGAATGTTTTGTTATCTGCTTTCATGCAGCAGGATTTCTTCCTAATTCTGGAAATTAGAAATTCTTCCTAGTTCTTCCTGGGTCTCCTCCAACCTCTATTTAATTTATTTTTCCAAAGGAATAATGAATGTGAACTAGTGCAGTCCCCCTGAAACTTTTATAGAGTTTAAATGCATGATAAAAGCATTGTCTCTAAGGTCTTAGTCATGATAAATCTGGTTCTATCTTGGCAGACTGGCCCTTGAGTCAAATTTTATCGTTTGACCAAAGCTTGAATCTCCAGTTAGACTTGAGCAGATTTGCAATAAGCTTGGGGGATGCTTCAGCCTGTGCTGAAAACCTTTTCAGGAACATAGGAGACAAACTCTGAATTTCTGAAGTCATTAGGAAATCATAGAATCACAGAATGCTTAAGGTTGGAAGGGACCTCTAGAGATCATCTAGTCCAACCCCCTGCACACGCAGGGTCACCTAGAGCACGTGGCACAGGACTGCATCCAAGCAGCGGGGTTTGAAGATCTCCAGAGTAGGAGACTCCACAACCTCTCTGGGCAGCCTGTTCCAGTGCTCTGGCACCCTCACT